GCTGTCGAGAGTGCGGGACCATGTCCTCTGAATTTATTTCTCTTCATTGGTCCTACAGAGCCTGTGGTGGTTGAACTTCAATTCATACTTCTAGGAGCCCATTGTCGTTCTAGTTTGTGAAATACTGCAATTTCGAAGTGATGATCTGTTATAGAAAAGCATATAAGTAAACACCTGTTCTCAGATACGTCATTCAGTTGAGTGGAAATGGGCAAGAACGTTTCTGTATGGAAAAAAGGGGGCAGGGAGGGGTATTTTGTTGTCTGTGTTTACAACATTATAGAGGTAACAGTGATGATACTGTCCCTAGAACAAGGGTTCTCAACCTGTGAGTAGCTCCCTCCCCCACGAAAGCCTATACCTGCAGCCCTAGAGGGCGTTAATAATTGTTCTCCTGTGAAATTGGTGTGCACATTCATTTCTTTTAAAGGGGATACAATCTCGATTGAGAAGAGTCAGAGCCTAGAAGTGACATCTCAGATCTAGGAGAAGAGTTGAGGTTTGTTGCAAGTCACAGGACGAAGATAATCTCAGATGGCAAAGGTGCAATAGGCCTAACAGAGCGAGGCTCTGTGTTTGGGGTAGAGTATTGGGAGCAAACATGGGGATCAGCTAGTGTTAGTGTTTCATAGGGGGGTACTATGGTATGATTTACAGTGTCTTTAAAGACTGTGAGCTGCTTCTTGAAGGGATTCCACGTCATGACAGGACTGATGAGAAGGAAATGCCATCAAAGATCCAGTGTTTTGATCTGTGGTAATGCCACGAAGTGCAATGTTGGGAAATAGTTAGGTATCTTCTAGACCTTGTCTCCTGAAAGCAGGCAGGAGCAAGACATCTGGCTTACTTCACTCTTGAGGCACTCTGGTGTTGTCTTCCAGGATTAAAAATAAATAAATAAAACACAACCAACTGTGTCCCCATGTCAGAGAATCTGAGGCCCTTTCCACAGATATCCTAACTTCGGGGTTACATGTTACTGTTCAGGTAGAGGGGGGAAAAAATGAAGCCCGCAAGGCATTTAGAGGGCCACAAATGGACAATCCCCCCCCCCCATTGGTAAACAGGTTGAGAATCCCGGTTTTAGAGTATATGCAAGATATATCTATACTGAGCCCACATGGAGCTCTTTGCTGCCACAGTGGGACTTGCAGCTCACGTCGTGTTAACACAGACATCCCCACAGCATACTCCAGTCTGCAGTACAGGCAAAATCCTAATGGAGGGTAGTCGTAAAATGTGTGTTATATTTGAGTAAGTTGGAAAAAAATGCCAGTATCCACTTGAAAGGAGTCCTGAAGCGTAAAAACAGTAGTGCGTGTGACTTTGAACTCTCACAGTTACAATTTGTGCAGGTCTTGGTTAAACAACTGAGTTTTACACCCTTGTAGAAAAGGTAATTTAATGTTTTCTTTTTCAGGCTCCTCCATTGCCATCCTCCTCATCTTGACATTTTTTCATGGACATTAAATGAAAACTTTTCTGATATTCAGGAAGTGACCCAGTTCTGCACCACTGATTTTTGTAGCTATCCCGTAAGGCTGCTGGCTGAAAGCTGTGTCTATGCAACCTTCCAAGTGCGGAGTGTCAACCAACTGGACAGGAGAGAGCACTGCCTCCTACTCCAGAACTCAAAAACAAATAAAACTCATCCAGCTGTACTTCAAAAAAATAATTCCATGTTTTGTATATATCTGACAAAACTGGCAACATTATACAGACTACTGACTTGAAGACCACCTCTTTTGTATTTCTCTGTTTCTGGGCTGATGAGTTGGTTTCATCCATTTTTCCCCTTCAGAATTTCCCTTGGAAAAAGTACTAGCTTAGCTGGTCATTTCTTTGTAAGGTAGTTAGAAATTTTAAGTCTTTCTTTGGGCAACTTTTTTTTTTTTTTTTTTAATGTGAAGAGTTAGGTGATATAAATTTTTTACTGCTTTTATGTTTTTCTGTCTTGTTTTGAAACCATGACGGTTACACTTTTGGTTCCTAAATAAAATTTAAAACAATTAACAGCCAAGTCACAAAGATAAATGGGTTGCACATAGACTAAGGAATAAACTTCAGATTTGTGATTTTTGTTTCTAATCTTGATGTAAATTTACACTATTTATAAATACATATTTATTGCTTGAAAATATTTGTGAATGGAATGCTGTTATTTTTTCCAGATTACCTGCCATTGAAATTTTAAGGAGTTCTGTAATTTCAAACACTACTCCTATTACATTTTCTATATGTAAATAAAACTGCTTAGCATTGTACAGAAACTTTTATTAAAATTGTTTAATGTTTAAAGTTTTTCTATTGTTTGAGTTTTAAAAAGATTTTATGTACAGTGCCCAGTTTTTGTTCTTTTTTGAATCTGATTATATATATTTTATATATACTCTTGTGCTTGTGTATATATATAATATATATAGAAACTCGAATATAAATATGTGTATAAAGATTTAGAGACTAAATTTTTCTCGTTTTAAGTTTTACATCTATGGTAGATTTTGAGGTGTCTACTGTAAAGTATTGCTTACAAAAGTATGATTATTTTTAAAGAAATATATGGTATGTATCCTCAAGACATGAAATGACCTTCAGACTGGTTTATTGTTAAATTGCACTTTTTGCAATAACAGACCAATAAATAGTTGCTGCCAAAACGTAGTAGTAGAAAATAAGTAACGGCTAAACTTTAAAGCTCTTCAAGAAAATACCAGCTTTGACAGGAAGTTTGGCGCTAGTTTTAGAGGAGGAGTGAAAAAGGTGAATTTGAGTTTGGGTGGGGATGTTCTCTAGAATTCAACCAAATTGCAACTTATATATATTACAATATGTTCTATTAACAATTGAAAAAGTTACGACTGAATCATCGTGGCGTCATTGTTGACCCCAAAAAAGGACGTTGTTTTGTGGTATTCTGTTGTATTTTCACATATTTTGTAATACGAATTCACTGGTAAATTTTTGAAGCACTAGGTTTATTTAGGACAAGTTTATAATATATCATTGTAACAGTTTGCAGTTTTAATGATGGTATTTATTTTAAATTGCTCCTTTCTCATTAGCTTCTTGAAAATGCATTAAATCTAAATTTCAAAATTGATAGCTTTCTTATCGATCAGAGTTGACTGATGCAGAAGGTTCCGCATCAAACGATTTCTCATAATTTCTCATTAGTGGGGTATGTTAGTGATTGCATTGTTAAATTTTTTGTAATCTGTGAAGTGTTAAAGGCACAGAGCATGCTAATAGTTTTGTTTGAACAAAAAGAATCGCCTCTTACATTTGTAGCTTCAAATGAAGGGTGTTCATTTTAATGAAGAACCAGTACAGCTCGTCTAATGCTGTTACAACAGTTTAACCATAGTTATAAATGACTTTCGTGCTAGTTCTTACAACACTTGGACAAAAGGGTACGGACGTTAAAGAAAAGTATAACAAATGCTCTTGCCAGCAAAATTATCAGCTAGCAGTTAGGAAGCCAGTATTTGCAGTTCTGTAAAGATGTAAGTCTCAGCTCTTGATAACAAACTCTACAAATCATAATTTTTTTACTTAATGTATTTTATGCAGTCATAAATATTGTAATCTTGACAAACCATGCTGCAACTGAAAAGCTACTCCTTTACAGTAGTCTTAAACCCAAATAAAAGCAAGATAACTTACCTCAACTAATGGTAAACAAAAAGTCCTCGTTTCTCAGTGCTGTAAAAGAATGTTGCTACTAGGGAAATAGCTACTGTGCTCTAATCAGAAGGGCTTTGTACCTTTCCTCCCCTTTGGAAAAGAGGATGTGCCGTTACCAAGGAAGAAAATCCGTATTTCACCAATGAACAAGTAGACCAAATCAGTAGAGCCTTAGGCAGTGTTGCTCGCTCTGCTTGAAGGTTTTGTCGTGGATTTGAATTGCTGCAGAGCTTTAATATTTTGCAGTTTTCGTACTTAATTACACTATGCTCCTGACCGATGGACAGTTTTGACCTCTAAGCTGCTATGATTTAGAATGCTTTTGTTTCATTTTATTAAAAAAGCACAAGTTAATATTTTATCAATTGTAGTTATTATGAAGCACTTCCGCTTCTTAAATTACGAAGTGCATGGTGCAAGCGAAACACTTGTAATCTCT